GTAAATCTCAAGTCGCCGAGATGCAGAGACTAGACAAACTCTACATGGAAACACAAATGCGCTTTTCAGAATGGTTTTAACAAATTTTACAGAACATTTCAAATCTTCATTACTTGTCATCCATTTTTCGCATGTGATTTATTTGCATCTTTTGTAATTGAACAAATCTCTTGTATAATTCAAATTTTTGTCTATTCATTTATTGTTTGCAAATATAAGTACAAGTTTCTTTTCGAATTTTTCTGCAGATGTATTTTTTGTTTAGCTTTTCCAATCTGTATTTGTTTATATTCAACCAATATTCACTTGTTTTTTCTTTTCTTTTGTGCAGTTGATCATTATATCGTTAGCGTGTCTTTACTTCATAGAGAAATAAATAAATACAGTTTATATTATATTAGAAAGTATTTTTCTTAACTGAAACAAAGAAAAACAAATATCAAATTGATAATATATTGTGATATTTTCAGTCGAGGGTAATGCGAGTCACCTCCGACGAGCGTTATTTATTATTAAATGCACTGCACATGGTGTGCTCTAATGAAATTATTCATGCATGTGTGAGTTTATTATATCAATGTCAAAGACAATTTTAGTCCGGTATACTCTGATCAGTACAATTCAGCGATATTCAGAGCAGAACCATTCGATCCTCCAGCGATTAATATTTTTTCATCTGATAATATTGATGCTGTATGATAATCTCGTCCATTATTCAGACTTCCTGTTAAAGTCCAACTACCTGTCGATGGATCATACAACTCAGCACTATTCAAATAGCTATAGTTATATCCACCAACGGCTAATACTTTTCCATTTGATAATACCGATGCCGTGTGTAAGTTTCGTGCAGCATTCATATTTCCTGTTAGAGTCCAAATACCTGTCGATGTATCGTACAATTCGGCACTATCCTGAATCAGACCATTGGCTCCACCAGCAACTAATAACTTTCCATTAAATAATACCGATGCTGTATGGCCAGATCGTGCAGTGTTCATACTTCCAGTTGTTGTCCAACTACCTGTTGAAGGATCATACAACTCAGCACTATACGAACTGGTACCAGAATTCTGTCCACCGATAACTAACACTTTTCCATTTGATAATATTGATGATGTATGATGATGTCGTATACTACTCATATTTCCTGTCCATGTCCAAGTATCTGTTAATGGATCATACAACTCAGCAGTATTCAGATAACCATCAAAATTCTGTCCACCACTGACTAATACTTTTCCATCAGATAATATCGATGCTGCATGAAATGTTCTTGCAACATTCATACTTCTTACTGATGTCCAAATTCCTGTTGATGGATCGTATATCTCAGAACCCTTCACAAAAACACCGTTAAAACCACCAGTCACTAATATTTTTCCATTTAATAATATTGATGCTGTATGAGAATCTCGTCCATTATTCAGACTTCCTGTTAAAGTCCAACTACCTGTCGATGGATCATACAACTCAGCACTATTCACATAAGCAAAACTGTTATATCCACCAGCGGCTAATACCTTTCCATCTGGCAAAAGGGATGCTGTGTGATATGTTCGTGCACTATTCATACTTCCTGTTAAAGCCCATCCTGCATAGAGAAAAAGAAATAAATCAATTTAAGAGCAAAGATTACCGAAGAAAATTAATCGAAAGGAATATCTTTACAAAAATTTTATACTTTTGAAATGACTATGGTTAGAAATTCCTCGTCTATTCTCAAATTAGTATCGACCCATACCTTGCAAACAGAATTTTGTCGTCAACAAAGGTAAACAAACAGCTGATGGCGAGCAACAAGAATTAACAATGCAGATCGAATCATACGACGAACAACTATTTGTTACATTATCACATAATTCCAAAAGCGAACATTGAATAGCCGGAGCGCAATAACTGCTATTATTTATTGTATAATAATAGAAACAAGGTGTTGGTGATCGGCGACAATTACTACTATCGAAAGTAGTTATATTACACTGCTGTACAGAGCAACTTGATGACGGATTCGATGCAGAATGAGCAGATATTGACAATGTAAATTCCACATCAGCGTTATTTTTCAGACATGAATAGTTAGGTGATAGTGTTGTTTGACCTATGGGAAGATCTTAGCGAAGAGAATAAGAAGCGACTTGTTATACCTTTGAATACGAAGAAAGACACGACGACGAGCAGGTGTGCGATGAATGCCATGACTTTTTATGAAATAAATGAGAATTCTTTGTCGTCCTGAGTAGTTATTGTAAAAAAAGGAAGAATGTTCTGTTCTATTAAAATGAATTATTGTTTTTTGCATCGGGCATTTTGACGACTATGGTAATTCTTTTTATAAACGAAATTAAAAGAAAATGTTTTGCTCCGTTTCATGATTTTGATTTCTTTCTCAAAAATTTCATTATGATTCTACTATGAATAAACACATACCAATTTTTTTATTGATTCATCTCAAATCGTAATCGCCATCGTGTAATGAAATTTTTACTTCGAAATTCAATTCAACAGTATTTTGTGAAAATACATCATAGCGAGGGTGAGGGTGTGTGTGTAGAGCTGCCATGACTAGTTTCATCTTCTGCTCAAGAAGATTCATCAGATGCCTTATAATTTCACTTGATTTCATCCAAGAGAAAAATTTTTCAAAAGAAAAGGTCTATTTCAAACATAATCAAAGTAAAATTGAACTATTCTGTTATAACGAGTAACGCTCGTCGAAGCAGACTCGCTTAACCCTCGACTGAATGACTAACTTTAAATGTTTTCTCTTGCTGAAATTATTCATATCAATGTAAACTTGATTATTATGTACTAGCCATAGTCCTTTTTTACCTTATAATCCTGTAAGTCATTTTGTAAGAATTTTAAAAAAGTTGCTAAGTAGAATATCGTTTCGAGGACTGAACAAGTTTATTGATAAATAACCAAGTAGAAGATCGCATCGCTGTTATAAAAATGCGGGCTATATATAGGGGGAATAACTGTCCAGGTAGAGGGAGAGATACATATCAGATATCAGAAGATTTCACATCACAGTAAAGAGATCTAGGCACAAGATGATACATATGATATCAAGAGAGATGATATCCGAAGAGATACATCAAGGTAAGAGATCAAACTAAGAAAGAATAAGTAAAATACCTAGATTTGTTATAAGAAGATATTACAACATAACAAAGTATTATAATTCAAATGACAGCTGAAAAGCTTTCATCCAGAACTTCGCTAATCAAATGCATAACATAAATTTATTTTATATTCTATGAAAAGAAAGAAAAATGACCAGAATAAATCAATATCTGTGTAAATATACACAACACAATTAGAAAAGCAAAATAATCTCGATTTTAAAGAATTTTAACCCTTTCAGGACCGAGTTTTTTTCTTCTTAGAAATCACTTGTATTCATGAATTTATTAAACCTGAATCAAAATTTTTACATTAAATGCTTATGGTATCCATAGAAACAGTTTTTCTCATCTATAACACAAAAAGCTAGTTTACAATTAGAACATTCAATGGTTGATCGAACTTGCACTTCATTTGTGCTACAGTTAGCACATCTTCTTCGTGTTCCCTTGACAGGCAAATGCATTGCACTGTTCATCTGATAACTAGTTTGTGATGCTGATGCTGAGATTTTATACTTCTTTGTTGAAATAGGTCGTCCAATGCTTTTTCGCTTTGCATCAGAACATAGAGACTTAGCCATGAAAATCAAATAATTCAAGTATAATAGTTTATTCTGATCTAATTGGATGTAGCAGATATATGAATTGGCTAAGGATGCATTGAAGAAGAAAAAGAAAAGACGAAGCCAATTCCTTTTAGACTTCCGATCAAAGGAGTATGAAGATATTCTTTGATTGAATCTATCAACCCCATGTATAAATCTATTGTAGTCTACTATTGCTTTCGGACAATCAATTTCAATTCGCTGTTTATTCTTCAACTGTCTAGAGATCGTAACAGCTTCTGCGTTTTCACAGTCATTGGACGCCAGAAAAACATGCTTCGTATCCATCCATTTAAAGATAATAGTATTTGATATGACGATTGACTTGTGGTCACCTCGCTCCATTTTCTCTTTCAGAGCGAATTGTCGTGGAATACCAACTCGATCAGATCGAATAGTCCCTGTAGCATATATTCGCCGTCGTCTTAGCTTCTCTAATAAGGGAAGAGAAGTAAAGAAGTTGTCAAAATACAACTGTTTTCCTTCAAAACGATGATCAGCGATAAGGGTGAGAACAACACGTTCGCCCAAGAGTGATTCGTTAACACTAGTTCCTTCTTTTCCAAGATAAATTCTGCAATTGAATAAATAGCTGGTGATGGAGTCGCATAAGCACCAGATTTTATAACCTCTTTTTATTGGTTTTAGAGGTATGTATTGCTTTTGACTCGATCTACCCTTAAACTTGACCATAGTTTCATCGATAGTACCATATCGGCCAAACTTATAGTTATTTTGAAAGTTCATGAGTAACATTTCAGTGAAGTTCTTTATTTTGTAAATTTTACTGTAATTAGTTGATTCTCTTTTTGGCTCTAATGAATTGTCAGCTAGATGTAGATTATAAAAGATTTGAAGAAAGCGGTTTCTCGACATGACCGAAGAGATAAAGCTATTATGAAAAATATTGTCCTTACTCCAGTAGTGCTTCATGCTTGGTAAGCTATTGATCGCCATCACGATGATTATTCCAAGAAACGATTCAATATATTTCGTTGTTACATCTTCCCAGAGATCGATACTATTCTGACTACGCCTACGTTTCTTTTGCTTTGCGTAAATGTTTGTTTGATCGACAATTAGATTAAAAATTTCTTTGGTAAAAATATTGTTGAACACGAGAAATGGCGTTACATCGGTGCAAGAAATTGTCGTAAAACCACTATCAACATCAATCATAGAATTTTCTATTATGGAATCAACGTCCATTTCATTATCAGTCGAATATTCACTTGATATTCGAAGTTCATCCAGATCGTCGATTAAATCATCATAGTCGAAATCAAAATCACTTTCATCACTGACTTCGTTAGAAGATGAATTATCTGAGTTATCGTCCGATTCATCTTTTTCGAAAGGTTCCATTGTGAATTTTCAATTCTAAATACAATTGATAAATGAAATACAGGGATAAGTTAATTTTCTTTCAAAACACAGCTGTATATATATATAAAGTGGTAGATACCGAGAATCTTCTCGAATCTTCTTATAAAATAACATATTAGAGGAAGAAAAAAATCATGACGTCATGGCACAGTCACAGAACGAAAAGCGAATGCCTTTGAAGAATGTATATTTCATCAAGAGAAGAGACGAGAAGCATAACATAAGCACCTCGTGACCTTGAAGTATAGAAAAATTCAATATTTCTATATAAATGAAATATTTTCCTAATTGAATAAATAGGTGGTACAACCCTTGTACCACGGTCCTGAAAGGGTTAATTCCTGAGAATGAATATGTAATATGGGATAAAACTCTCAACACGGCTTCTAAATTCAGTTTTACACGAGGAATTCGAAAATCATATTGATAAGATTAAAAACTAAAACCGGCAAAGAAGAATCGAAATTTTCTGGAGAGTAAGCCTGTATTGATGGTCTAGATACCTCTTCAGTATTTTGGACACACGTATCTTCACAAGTACTATGTTAAATCAAGAAAACACGGTAATATTCGTGATCAGCGTTAAAAGCTGCGTCTAACCATGTCCACTTTGAGAAAAAAACCAAATACTCAAGTTTTGCTTTAGCCGCGCCTCAGTTAGATATTCACGTTTCGCCATAAGGTTTACATAAGGACAAGTCCATAAGATCATACAAGATTCAAATGATTGCGCTAGAAAACAATTCAAGACATCGTATATGATGATTTTCTGAAAGAAAGATGTAGATTTTTCGAGAGAATCGAATTCACATCTTAGCGCCCGCCGTCCTTTATTAAATGAAATAAATTGAAATGTATTTTTTAAATGTCAAGATACTATTCTTCACAATCAGTGCATTTAAGATCAATTCCTGGATATGGCGAAGATGTAGGCGAGTATGATCCATACTGCCAAAATCGTTCGTTAGTAAGGCATTCTAAAAGAGACATTGCATCAGCAGCACAGTTTAATTCTTTGATCATATAACGACAAGTCTGCATAGCACTTGTACCATCAGGGCAGGTAAATTCACAGGTAGGCTGTGGGGACCAATTCATTGTACTCGTTCCCACCCTTTTACTACAACCTAATGATCGACAAGCCGTAACTCCAGCTGCAACGTCGAAACCACCACTTAAAACCATACCTTCGAACGAAAATTGTTTGGTACTATTTGGAAGACGATATGTTGCTTTTAATTTCAACGGACTTGTCTTTTGAATAGTAAGGCTCACTAATAATGATGGATAATGCTCAGAAGTAACTGTATGCGGATCACAATAATCATCGTTAAAACCCCGCAGAATATTTGTTGAAACCATATTAAACGTTACTGTTAAGAGTATGATGGCCATTTGATGAACATACATTCTGATTCAACACAAAAATAAAATCCAAACTGATAGATATTTCCAATGAAATATGTAATTGTAACGAATAAAAGACGTTTACAAAAAAATGTATACTTACTACTTCAAACGATATCTTTTTATAGTATAATCACATAAATTGAGTTCGTCATTTCATAATACAGAATCAATATTGACAAGTGCTTATTGAATATTTCTTGGAAAGAGAAATATGTAATCTGATAATGACGATTATAATGCTCTTTGATAACTGATTTCTATTTGCGCAGTAAAATGAAAGATTAAAATTAATCTGTATGTTGGAAATAAACAGATCTGTACTATAAAAATGAGTTGATAACGAATGACGAACATTGCACAATGATATTCATTTACATTTTAATTGTTTTTTATATCGCTTCAACATGTTCTATTCCATGTAAGCCGGGACAATATTTTTCGGCAAGTAAATGTCGTCGATGTTTAATTGGCTTTTATTGTCCTGATGGAGTCCAACAATTCCCTTGTGAACCTGGCTATTTTACCAATTCATATGAACAATCCAAATGTCGTCAATGTTTACCAGGTTATTTTAATATTAAACCAGCGTCTATAAATTGCTCACGTGCACAAGTTGGTTATTATGCACCACTCAATAATAATAATTCTCAACCGTGTCCCAAAGGCACATATACAAATAAACCAGCACAAAATAAATGTAGAATTTGTCGATCTGGTACATATACAATACAACCTGGAGCACAAGTGTGCATTCGATGTCCATTAGGTCATTTTTGTCCTGATTCGACTAAACAACCTCAACCATGCTTAGCAGGTACTTATGGTCCTCTTTATGAACAGATAAAATGTCGAACTTGTCCACAAGGTTATTACACGGTTCAACCTAGATCTACTTATTGCACAAAATGTCCAATCGGTTATACATGTGCTGATCCTTCAATACATCCTAAACCCTGCCCTATTGGTTTCTACAATGCATTGTACGCTCAAACTACATGTCGACAATGTAAAGTTGGATGGGCAACTAATGCTCCTGGTCAAATGATGTGCACAAACATAACACCTGAAATTGGTTAAACATTTTCTTTTGTCATAATAAATCAATCTATGATACTTCTACTTCTCTATATTTACTTCTAAATTGTTATATTACATAAATAGTAATCCCACCTTTGGTCGAAAAGAAAAAATGTAGAAATGTAGAAATATCGAAAGGTGAAAATGCCGAAATTAAAATAAACAAAAGTCGAATAGAAAAATATCGAGTTGAAAATAGTCGAAATGTAGAAATATCGAAAAGTAAGAATGTCGAAGAGATTGTTTTTAGTTTACATCAATTTTTATTTAGTAATTGTAACAACGATCAGTTTTTGACTCGATAGAAAAAAATAGATGCATGTAAAAAATTAATTAAAAGAGAACTATAACCCGTTCAGGTGAGATAATTATGTAATCAAGTTATTTGCTCTTTTTAGCCACGACCAAAGATAATCCAGCTAGAAGAGTAGATGCACCAATAAGATTATCAGTATAGCGCTTTTATAGCGCATCAATACGATTTTGTATTGCTGCTGTTCGTTGATCTTTTTTCTTTGATGCACCGCTTGTGCATTGAATCATCATAGATGTTGCCCGCTTTTCTTCTTTTTGCAGAAAATTCAAGAGAAGCCACATGTTCGGATGATTACGCTGTAATCGGCAATTCATCCGATTATGATAACCTTAAATAAAAAGAGTGAGATTTATTAAAGCCCTTTTCATGTATCTTTTCCTTACCTTCACAGTTATTGTTCGTTCGAACATTAGATTCAGATACGTTCTTCCAAGAGATTGTATTTGTCGATAGATCGCTTGAGAAAAATGATAGAAATATCCCATATGTTTTGAACATGGAAACCAAAAGCAAGTTAATTAATCGTCTAGTTTTCTGTCGATGAAGGTAGAAAATACTCACTTATGATTTCAATACAGGAAGTACAGCGGGTTCAAAATCTGTTATTATCGATGCAGGTGAGAAAGATTTACCACGTTGAGATGCGATTTGTTTCAGTTCGACAAATATCTGTTTGTACACGATCGACTTTTTGATCATTAATAGGCCATAAACACATGTCAAACCTAAAAGACAGTCAATATGTGTTCAAAAAGACTTTCATTTTACTTACATATGTCAAAGTTAACTGCATGAATAATATAGATTTGGCAGAAATTATGTGGAGCTTTACTGAACGTGCCGTCCATAAATACTGTATGTGAATCGAATAGTAAGTCGAGTTGATCATCATTTCCAAAAAGTAAAATACGTTCACGCCTGATTGGCGATCCATCATACAATAAAAATCGTTTCCCATCGATTGTAGATTTATAAATATCAGGAATAGTAAAAAAGCAGGATTGTGGTAATTCTGGTGCTGCTTTGCGACGAGCTTTAGCAACACCTTGATCTGTAAATGATTTGAAAAATATTTTGGTAAGAGTTTTAAGAAAACTCACAAATTTCACTGTTAGTTGGGAAGATAGCCAAAGCAGATCGAGTCATACTCGATTTTGCGATCTCTTCTTCATAAATCATTCCAATCAGTGTCACTTCGTTGAGAGCACGTTCCTTCATCTTTTGACGGACCTTCTTCACTTGGACCAGTTCAGGATTAGGCGCATGAGAATGAAGATCTGTACCACCACCAGCGTATTCATTGCTTAACGTAGTGTGAACGTACACTTGACAACCTCGAATAACACATACCCAATACTTTCTTTTTGCCGTTGTTTTGTTACGTTTATAAACATAATTATTCAATACTAGGAGTGGTTCATTTTTATTTGATTTGATGAACGATAAATTGTGGATATCTATTGAGGATATGTTGTTGGTCGTAGCCATAATGATTATGTATTCGGACTATGATATCGATAAATAGTCTGTTTTTTTTTGTGTTAGATTATATCTGTTGTTCGCTTTGTTTATATCTGTTTATAGTGCTGTCGCCTGTATATTGGTAGCTGGCATTTCCAATAAACTATATTTGACAAAACGCTATTCCAAGATATTTGTTATTTAGTGACATCTTGGTTTAACATTTTGAAACACTTTTCTTAATTTTTGCCTTAAGTTGGTTTCGAATATACAAAATATCGATATTTTAATTTTCGACTTTTTTCTTCGATATTTTCCCTTTCGACATTTTATTGCATCGACATTTTTATATATCGATATTTTTACAGTTCAACGTTTTTATACTTTGACATTTTATTTTCGCTATTTTTCGTTCGATCTTTCTTCTTTTGACATTTTTTCTTTCGACCAAAGTTGGGAGAATCCTCAAAAGATTCCATAAGGTCTGAAGAGATCTAGATAACTATATTGTATTCTCAGGGATCCGTTTTTCTTCGTTGCCAATAAGCATTTGGAATAAATCTGTATGAAAACTAATATTGAATGTTAATACTAAGAAAAAATTAATTCTTTGTTATCATAGTTGGTAATTTAGGGCGTGATTGAATTACCATGATCGATTTCGAACCTATCAAAGTTCGTTTTCAAATGGTATTAGCTCTAATAAGATGATATAGGATTATATCAATGTGAAAAAGTTTTGAATAATTGCATTAAGTAAAAATTAGTTGAATTGACTGAAAAATCTTCAAAAGCGGATTTGCTTACTGTGTAGCTTGTTTGAAGGTAAGGATGAGATTAAGTTTTTTGGTTGTTGAAGGTTTTGATGTTGTGATTACCCATGCCAAAGCTGTACGACAAGAACTGGCGGGATCAATGACTTTCCAATGATTTCCTGCAATGGAAATCTGACTTCGTATCCGGCCATCCGCTTCCAATACTCTTCCAATTGATTCCTTGACACGGATCATATTTTCGGATACGGTCGTAGGATACGAACCGTAACCCACAGTTTCCGTTACGGTTACGAGCGTATGAAGCGCTACTTTCCCGTATTTTCAGATTCTAAATCGTTTAATACGATTTGTCCACTAATCAGTATTTAAAAGTACAGAAATTTTACAACTTTATGATACGTAATCAATAGAGAGGTGATAGAAGTCTGCCATTGATTGAGATGAAAATATTTGTTCGCATCTAATTACTCGGCAGACTGATAAAATTGTTCTGAATTTTTTACTTTGTAAGTGATTCTTTACTCGAGATTCAATGATTCCCAACGGAAATTATGCGAATTTTTTAAAAGTACTGTTGAAAAATATTTCAAACCCACTTCTCAGTTGTAAAAGTACAGTATCGTATGAAAGAAAAATGTTCGATTTTGGTTATACTGTGAATCGGTTTTATTCAAAAAATTGTGAAACGGTTAGTACACCCTTTCAAAATCTTACATGTATACATGTGTTTTAAATCATCTGCACAAATACCCATCTATGTTGGTAACGTAGAATAAAGTAGTAATCAAATAAACAACTATCATAGCGCTATAGATGATGTATCGTGTTTATTATCGATGTTTTTTTTTATTAATTCTGAATTCCCATGAGGTGTTTGGTGGAGTAGATACGTGGGGTGCATAAATGCAATACTAAATTTAACTTAACCGCAACTATTGTGCAAAGGTCATGTTATTAGATCCAATACCATCCTACATGCCGGTACTATCTATCTACAATGAGTACCAAGTCGCAATGTCACAACTTACTGACGTATACCTTTTTAATCACTCTTCCAATTGCCATCCACCCGCCAACGTAACATAAGCGTGAAAATCAGATTTCACACGAGAAAACTAATGAAAAATCAACTTAGATGACATGATTTGATCAACTTTTTAATCTGTTAAATCCTGTTATAAAACTAGGGGTGTACCGCTCACGCTCATGGGCGCTCATATGAGCGCGAGCGCAGCGCTCACGCTCACGCTCACGCTCACCATGAGCGTATCATCGCTCACGCTCACGCTCACCATGAGCGTATCATCGCTCACGCTCACGCTCACTGTGAGCGTGAGCGGTATTGGCTCACGCTCATGAGCGCTCGTATGAGCGTGAGCGTTTTCCTTTTAGAACGCCGATAATCAAAATAAGATCATTCACATTAATGTTCTAAATACAACTACACTATAGAAATAAATACAATCAAAAGAACAAAATAGCATTGACTAAAACACCAGCTAGCCCATTCCCAAAGATTTTAGCCAACTTTTTTATATTAAATAGTAAAATAAATCTTCTAAAATGCATAAAATCTTTCAAAATGCTGACCGGCTGCATTCTGTCGTTCTTTCGCTATGACATATAAAATGCCAAGCTATTGCTGTTCAGATCATGTGTAAGAATGCTAATCAACATTTTCCTGAAGAACTACTATCAGGCATGTACTAACTCCGGTTCCAGAGAATTTGGTTTCGGCCCTAGAGTTGGGATTGATCAGAATTTATCGGAATCGACATCGAATGGAATGGGTATTGACCGGAGCTCACTGGACATAGTCTGAAGTAGACTCAAAATATTACCATCTGTAATTCAATCAACACCAGTTTCGAACCACCATGACTAATGACATAAGAATCTCTTTTAACAAAAAGTATGTTGAATCAGTCCTTTATTAGATTTCGCCGGTTCGGCGAGAATTATTCTTTAGCGTACGACAGCTTCAGATTAATTCCGGCCCATCTCAGTCAGTTTTAACTGATTTGTGTTATGAGCTAATGCCAATTCCGATTCTAGTCGATCTCCATCCCGATTGTAATCACTTACGAAGTGTTCTAACATTGGACTTGGAATTTATTCGACGCGGAATTCTTGCATCCTTAACCACTGTGTCGTCGACCTGGATGAAATGAAGTCATGTAGAGTATATTATGTTTCGTATCGAAAAATTCGCGTTGGTAGAAATCTGTTAACACTATCATGTTATTATGTAACCAACGGGGATCGATAGACTCTGATATGTATACATGAACTGAGAGCAAATAATTTTTTGACTTTGACTTGAGATTGTCACTACTTATTTGAAAAATGTGTCGCTTTTCAACGACCTCTATTGACGATATATATCAGTTCTCTCATATGATTGGATACTTTGAATCAAACTGACTTGTCAAAATTGTCAAAGCGGCGGTTAGCGAATTTTCTATTGAATTTTAACTAGTTATTTACCTTGATACTATCAAAACATGACTTCATCAGCTGCATCACGATCTAAGGATCCCGAAACAAGTACATCTCAGAATCAATCTGGTTCTTTATTATTGTCACGCTCTTCTCGTGCTTCTCAATCTTCTGTACGAGAGTCTTCTACAAAACGGTCTCAAATACCAAAGTCAAAACGGAAAAATTCGTCAGGTCGATTGGTACCATATACTTCACCGAAACTTTCGCGTGCTAATCAATCAAATGACACAACAGCTAGTGTTACTACTAACGATTTTGTCCAAGACGCTGGTTTTGACCTTACTAACATCGACATGAATATTGATTATACCTCATTTCAAGGCAACAATATATCACAAGGACAAGATCCATTTGAAAAATCGTCAGATGACGAAAAAGAGGTAATTTGGTTTCATAATTACTTTTACTCTGAAAATTGCAGTACCCGTTGATCATCCTTGCTTTCATCGAAAACTCACTTGTTATTAATAAGAATAACATAAACAAAATCTTGATAAATATTAGAGTAATCGGTATTCAAATATATGTATGACTTTTGTTATTACACCTGTACTCTCGTCCTCATGTCTACTAACGCTGGTTTTGCTTTCGATCAAAGCTGAAGTTATCAAACGATACCTTCATAGAATGCGTAAATCTGTAGTACCTAATCTCATGTATCTTTGGCTTTTCTAGAATGACGCAAAGAAAAACGATCATCCTCACTCAACATCCTCTTTTGTGGTTACGGATTATTTTGCAGTGGGAAGCAAAGATAACACCTATATATGCAACACGTGTCGACAAGCAAGTTTTCTATGATATCTAATATTTCATTGCGCGAAATAAAACTTAAACAGAAAACGCCTTCTCAGAGAACTCAAATAGATAAATGACAGATTCGTTACGAATGTTTAGTGTTGTGATTATTCTGCTTGCTTTTTTTTATCACATTTGCTTAGTTCAGAATAACCAAAGATGTTAGGAAATAGATCAATAACGTTAGCTTAAAAGTTAAATTAACGAATCGTTCACAAGAAATAGTATGCATTCAACTTTCTGCACGAATTCGACGTAGACTGCGGAAGTATTGGTAGTTATTTCTTCTTCACAGTCTGATAATCAGTTATGTGAACAAGGCAGACAGAAAAAACGTATAAATCAGCTGTGTATAGGTAGGTGAGTGAAAAAGGATTAGCATATATTTCGAGTTAAATAGAAATACAAGACTTCTTGCCAAGAAGTCCTTGACAAATGGTCTCTGAATTCTCGCATTTTACCACGAACACGCCGTTTTTACCCCTTTAGGAATCATGACTTTTAAAACTAGATCAATCTAAGGAAAATTGTCATAGGGCAGTCATCTAATATTTTATCAAATGGACCAAAGTCCTAGCATAGGTTTTAATACTTTAGGAAAAAATAACAAATGGAAGTTCAACCTTTAATCTTCGTCGACATCTAGCGCTTCGGCACAATATTGAAGCAGGTATCAACGTTTCTTCATATCGGAAGAAGAGAGAACAATGCGGACAAACAACTACCATTGATAAAAAACGTCGAGCCGAAGTAGATGACTTACTGATGAAATGTATAATTCATGGTGGTCTACCATACAACCACTTTGGTCATCCGTGGTTTCACACCTTGTTTGATAATCTTCTGCCAGGTTATACTCCTCCAGATCGGCGAACATTTCGGAAGCGAATTAAACTCGAATATGATGCATACATTAGTGAAGTCAAGCAATTAATTCCAAAAGATAAACCAATTGCTTTTACCACGGACATCTGGAAGAGTTCAACCAGACATCATTACATATGTCTTACTATTCACTTATTCGACCATGAATTAAAACCATTTTCGTTACTCTTATCTTTTCGTCGTCTAACAGGTCGAAAGATCAGCAAGAATCTACACGATTATCTGCAATATGAATTAAATCGATTTGATCTTCAAACCGCATCTTATGCGGGCATTACAACGGACAATGGAAGTGACGTAAAAGCTGCCACAAAAACAGGAATATGTGGCCCTCGTTTTCCATGCATTGCACATACCTTAAATCTGATCGTTAACCACGGCGTTTGTATTTGGGACAAGCCAAGCGAAAAACGGTTAGTAGTTTTAGTTTTTTTGAAAAGCTCAGAAAGAAAAGTGATCAGGAGTCGTTCTTCTCATAAACTGAAAGAGATCAGATATCAGATATTAGATTTGTGAAATCTAATATATCCTTAACATCGTGTATTACTAATTTTGGCAACAAATAGACTATCTATTAAGATTTCGTATCAAAGTTTTACCGTTTACAAATGTCAAGTAATAAGCTGTCGTTTATCTCTAGATACCCTTTCAAATCATACAGCAAGAATGCCGTAGTCGACGACAATGATGATGATGATGAATATATTGACATTGATGACGACGTAGAAGAAGAGGCTGTTGATGCTGAAGAAGCTTATAAACAGGAACAGTGCAAGAATAACAACAACAGCAGTAGTAGTGACGTCAGTAACAGCAGCGTCAACGCAGAAACAAATGAAATTGCTGACCTGGCCGTGTCGTTCGACGATGCTACCGTTTCCTCTGTCGCATCAGTTAATGTTCCAGTAGACGACGAATACATCAGCGATGATGAAGATGATACAATCGGTTCTTCTATTGAACTTCATACGTTAAGCAACAGTGAACTAGACACTCTTTTCAGTTTTCTTTGTAAAACACGTACATTAATTGCTCGAGTAAGAAAATTAGCACAAACTATGAAGAATGTCACCGCAATTGATCAATTCATACGTAATAATCCAAATGGGCCAATAAGTGGTTTTGTGACCGATATGCGAGTAAGTTGTGATTCTTTTACACTTCAGCATAAGGTATTACTGCTTTGGTAGTTTATGAATATTTACGAAAGCATAACGCATATGGGTCTTATTTTATATTTATACCATTCTGGATGTTTATTCCAACACATTTACTAGTCACATTTCCTATAGGCTTATCTTATATTTTCTTCTCTGGCTATTGAGTACTGTTATTCATTTTCTCAATGTACATATACGAATGTTCTCTCATTTTTGACATATCATCCCTTTATGGTGAATGCACTTTATCAAGAAAAAGAAGGGATATATATATATACGTACAAGAAGACTATCGCTGGAATAAATCTTTCTCAGCAAACACCGGCATACTTTAGAGCTTCTTAAGCCAGTGTCTCGATGAGGCCTTACCAGATGCACGCATTTTGTGGAAACGAGGTTCCACGTGAAATCGATGTGTTTCCAACAGAATTAACCCATTATTAATATTAAGGGAAATATGTTTACTATTTAGACCAGGTGGTCCAGCTGTTTCTACATGCTGAAACGACTCATTGATTATCAACTGATTGTTCAAACAGTTCTTATTTCTAAGTTTCCCACAATTTCAAGTGATCAACAAGCTACTTTAGCGAAATGTTTTTTGGATCCAGAAAGTTGGGAAATTATACGAGCTGTCCATGATATTTTGAAACCACTCGAACTTGCAACATCGGCTTTATCTGGAAAACATTATCCTACTTTATCATTAGCTTACACAACTATCAGCATTCTTCGACTTGGTTTAAAACCAAACCGAGACGATTCGAGATGTTTGATTCTGCTCAAGAAAAGTATTCAGGCTCAATTTGAATACTATTTCGACTATCAATTGTCTAAACAACAAAAGGAATTAATGTTGGTGTGTAAAGTTTTATTACACTATTCTCTTAGTAGTTTTTCTGATTTTCTAACTTAAGTATTTCATAGAAAGTAATACTACTGACTAGTTCAGTGTTTTCTACTCAGGGCTTTTAATTGTACACAAATCCAATAGTTGAAACGTATTCATGTAACTAAACGACTACGTTGTTTGAGATAATGTAAAGACAGACTAAACAGCTTCCTTTCATGAAACATCTTCTTAGATTGCTAGACAAATGCTTATTTTCAATATTTACTAAAAACAGTGTTTGCCACAACTTTTTCGAGTGCACAAATAATAATCCTTTAAGAATGACCTTTCATACATACGTTGCTTGCTGAGACTGTCATTTACATTTTCTCGAAGATAGAAGTGTTTTTGATAACTATTGATTATTGCAGCTTTATTCTCCATTATATTTCGTTATTGCTATTTAGATTGCAAGTTTTCTAGATCCTGAGACTTTTGTTGATATCTCACCTGAAGATAAACAGAAAGTTAAAGCTATTCTCCCAGCTTATATGCGAAAGGAAGCACAGTATACTATTCAATCAACGACTTCAACGCCTGTAGTTATCCATAAACCAGCTCAATCTTTAACTGAAAAATTGAAGATGATGGTTGGTATATCAACGACTGTGCGAGCAACTCGACCACCTTCAGTAGAAGATGAAATCATCTTATTTAACCAAGCAATTCAATCGTACAACGGTTCCTTTTCAGCATTTTGGTTACAATTCAGAGATCAATTTCCTCGTCTATATCGTGTGGCATTACGAGTGAATATTATACCAGCTACATCGGTACCAAGCGAAACCATCTTCTCTATTGCTGGCTTTATCTCAAGAAAACAACGAAGTTCTTTGTCATCAACATCATTGCGACACCTAATGGTCTTGAAGGAAAGTCATAAATTAGAGCAGTTGCGTAATATTTCTCGCAACTGAATACACTGATGAACATTTTATCTTCCTCTAAAACCTTCATTGTTTCTGTTCATCAAAGAAAAATAAAATAAACGAACATCTTATGTTTCTCTATTAATTTTCAGCTTTTTTGAATATGGAAACTGCAGCGAAGTCAAATGAAAGAACACATAAAACCAATAAGAGATTTTGATGCGTACTTGTAAAGTTAACTGACTTAACACTCTTAATCTTACGACAATATTGTTCAGAAATTGTGCACTAAACACAAGGTCAAAGAGTAAGGGAGTAATTTAACTTTAATTTTCAAAACAAAGTTTCAAACTAATGGTTCTTAAAGACTAACTGAAATTTCTTGATTTAATAATATTAAAAAGTATTAACTTCTCTTACTTCGTGAGAGTTCAGTTCGGTTTTCATATCAAAAAAAGGTAATCAGTCTCTTCAATTCATTTTATGTTCGGTAGCAAAAGATATCATACAGCTCACGCTCATGAGCGCTCATAAGAGCGTGAGCGGTCGTTGCTCACGCTCATATGAGCGCGAGCGAAAATTCGCTCAGACTCTTATGAGCGCGAGCGAAAATCCGCTCACGCTCATGAGCGTGAGCGTGAGCTGTACAGCCCTAATTTTCAGTAATGAAAGTGCGAAAATACGTTCGATACCAGCATGAAGTGGGCCTGTCGGGATACCAACACCATGAAAAAAGTCCTAAAAAAGAGCCTCTAATACATGCTCAATTTCGTCGGCGAAGATCTACTTGAGAAAATACTTTGAATGGTGGCTTTCTCAACATAGGTATCTGCTCCATAACTTTTCAATCAAAAGTTATACAACTGTCTTCTCCTGCCTTTTATAAAATTTCGATAATAGTTTGATTGATGATTTCCTTGTTGTACCAGGTTACATCAGCTATTTTGCTATTCTTGTTTTTCCCTCAGTCTGCGCTTTATCATTACCAGAATTACGAAACAAAATGAGAGTTGAGCATCGTTTCAAACAACGGAGAAGACAGATTTATTCAGAAATTATACTTTGTAGAAGCCAGACAAATAAAAACAATCATACACGCTGCTGAATACTATTTAAAAAACAAACTTTAAAAAAAATTCGTTTATGTCAATAAAATAATGCTAATAGATGTCAGATGGTCGAAATATGTATAGGAGCCAGCTATAGAAATATAATGGACGAAATTAAGTTTTTCTTTTTCTTAATCTTCTTTCAGAGAAATTTTTCTCCAGTAAAACTGAGTCATGTATCAATCGATAGAGATTGACTTACTCTTAGTGAAAAGTGTCAATTCAATTAAAAAGAAATCTATGTTTAGAAGAAAATCTTATTAAAATATCATTTATTTGTATGTCTGTACTTGATCCACTGATAATTACATTTTCACACTAAATAAAACAACGCAATTTTCATTTTTTTTAAATCAAAATCATATGGTTTTGTTTTTATTTTATTTGAATTAAATATAAATTATAGATTTCACGTATATTAACATAGATCAATGATTTCGGCAGTAAAACATTGGTCTCGTGCCCGGTTTTGTTCAATTCTTTCCGAATCCGATCAAAGAATATCTGCTTCCATTTTCCGTAAACTTCCAGTATCTTCCTTCTGAATTCGGCCCGATCAATTCAAATACAACATATAAAATAAAATGAAATTAATTAACAATAGTTGGCATTTGTCGCACTGGTGGTGGTGGTGGTGGTGGTTGTGCTATAATTGTCGTTTGTCCACGTCTAAGACGAGTCATAGTTAAAATTTCTGGATAAATTTGATTTATATTTTTCCAAAAGAAAAAAAATTTGTGAAATTTATTTTTTAAATCAGGTAATGATAAAATACTCATAAATGGTGTAAATAAAATAACCCAATAAAAAAAGAAAAGACTATTTTGAAAATATTCATAACCAATATCTGCTGATAAACCAAATGCATATGCCGCATATAATATCATTGGTGGAAATGATAAAACTAAATATAAAAATGATATTGGTAATAATTGTGCAGACATTTTCCGATAATTTCTCCATTCCATTCGATGATTTCGTTTATATTTATGATAAATAACACGCATTAATAATGATATACTAAAAAAGATAATTAAAAATGTTGGAAATATATAATGTAATAAACTATCCATTAATGCTATTTGAGGATAAAATAAAGTACACCACTGTAAATTACATAATGGATATGAATAATCAATTAGTATTGAACATTGATTTATTAGTAAAAATAATAAATAAAATACTATTGGCCATAATAAACATATTATTATTGGTATATAGTGAAATACTAAACGTTTCTTTTTTGTTGAATATAAATTTGAATAAAATATTAATATATGTCTTTCTATTGATGCCCAACTCATTAATAGATTAATTGATGCAATACTGCATGAATTAATATAAATCCAAAAATAGCAATATTCATTTGTTAATATTAAATTTTGATGTTTTGATAAATTATATATCAATGGTATTACATCGAATATTTCTTCAATTAGCCCACTTATTAGTAAAAATATGACAACATGATTATTTAACGATTGACGACATAAACGAATTCTTATCAAATAATATAAATTAAATATTGTCAAAAATATTGACGGAACTAATGGAATTAATAATAACCAAAAACGTATTTCATTTGTTAATGCCATTTGAAATATTTCTTATCCTAATGAAACAAAAAAATTCACTTTTGATCTTTTTTCATTAAAAAAATGTCTTGAACAGATATTCAATCTTGATTAGAAAACACTGATCTTTTTAAATATTTACTGTTTGTTAAGGATGATATTTGAAAATAACATATTTTGATGAGATTTATATATAAACGAGAAAAAAGTGAATAACCTTGAAAAAGATTTCTAATGAAGTTATATTATTAATAAATTCTTTTTGTTCTTTTTCGAAAGTTCATTGAGATAAAACGTCAAGATAATTGTATATTATTCATTAATCACAATTTCTAATTATAGAAACAGCATAAAAATTGATTACATTAAAAATATTATTCAGATTCCCTATAAATCTATATAAATATCGTAAACAAGAAACATTTATTCGTATATCTCAACGAAAAAAATATTTTGAAGAAAGACTACCGTAATTCATGACATGCGCTTCATTACTATTTACATAAAAGTTTTTACTGAAAACTTTTATATTTATAGAATGTTAATGCATACAATCATTGTTTCTAATGATAACAAATTATTTTGAAGTGTTCTTGTTTTAATTATAGTTTTCATTAGATTATACGAAACGCTCTCAATTTTTTCGTACTAATAAACCTGAAAGGGAGACTGCCACTTTTCCGAGCCAAAAATTTGTTTTTTTTTCCGATTTTTTTTGGTAGAGAAGTGTATTAAGAAGGACCATCTTAGAAATATTTAATAACTAATTAACTAATCAGGATTAACATGAGATTTATGATCTTCGTTCTGATCTGAAATAATTCACTTTTTGCAAGCAATACACTATATAACCGTAGTCAGTTAATCCATTGATTAAAACTGACCTCGGATTCAGATTCCTCATGCTGAACTACCATTTGTACCGCAAAACTATAGCCGGGGAGATATTAGAAGATCTGGGTCTTCTATTTTGTCATCTAAAACTTCATGCTTTTACGGATGTATATGGATGAGTATTGTATATATCACTTATTACCATACTATTTTATTATAGAATACATACTTTATTCATCTAGATTAATGCGTTAACAAAAGTACGAGCATATTCTAATAATAAAATGAGATTAAAAAAACGCTTCTGTAGTTTACCACGCAATATCGTATACATTGAAAGCTTAGTGGGATAGCTAATTCATATCTTACTCTCACATGAAAAGCTCTTCTTTGATGTCATTCATCTAATTATAAATAAACTCTCCATGTTTAACTGGTATTACTCAGAAACACTTTTTTTATCGTTCGTTTTTCTCTCCTTTATGCGCATCTACTTATGTTAATATTTTTAATGACGTCAATTGTTGTTGTTACAGACAACTTCAAGTATGTAAACATTTTTTTTTGTTATGTGACGCACATGACAATTCATTATAAAAGCTGATAAAAGGAGGCGCACAGCGAAGATTATTTATTTATGTGCGAATTTCGTTTCGGAACACGAGAATAGGACCCTAACAAAGACTAAAATAGTTTTTTCTCTACATGAAAAAGTTGATTTACTTTCTTCCGAAGCGAAACGTATAGAGATTCTATTGACGATTGTCTAACATAATCGTCGTAATTGCATTGTCCATGACGAAGCCGATCCAGTAATTGAAGATATTGTATATCTTCTGTTCGCACCTGTTGTGTAAGTTTGACCACGCAATTCATTTGAAGAATTCAAAAGCGTGGTACACATTGTTGAATTTCTTTTTTGATGGTAATGAAAAATCAGTCTGCAATGGTGAATCATAGACTGGTCAATATTGTAAATAATTACCAAAGAAAATACCGTTCACACCACCAAATAGAACTTGAGGATCGACATGTTTGGTAGGACACATAATTCTATTGAGTTTTGCTAATAAAGTTAAGTCAACCATACTCATTTCATCAATTAACAGATATTCGACCGGTCTCCATTGGTTTTCAAGTTTGGAGTCACGTGGTTTGATGGTACGTGGCTTTCATGAATTACGTTGTTCGCCTAGAAATGAATGAATTTTCATTCCATCAATTTTAGCAGCTGCAATTCCAGTAGATGTAAGTTTTCGCATCTTTTGCATTCTTTTTGTAGCAAGAAAGTATTTTGTAAGAGCACGAATCTATTGTGATTTGTCCGTTCCACCACAACCAGGTATCCACATAATGAGTTGATCGTTATTGCCACCTAAAACAGATTATTCAATGGAAAAAGTAATGATTTCTTTCATGAAAATACCTGGGCGACATCGACTATCACCATCGAGATGATGTTTTATTATCAAGAATGCTACTTTGGGTGGTGTAATTGTTTCCAACCACAAGTACTGGAGGTATTGACGCATTTTTTTCGAAACTAGTTTGATTATCATATGGATTGATTACGATTACGACGGCGTTGGTTACATCATCATCATTGATCTCTTTATCCGAAATCAAACTACGTCTAATTCGTTTTTTTTTCAATCTTCAATTGATCTTACCACTTTCAATTAAGTTTAATTAGATTAGACGTTGCAGGGATGAACGGTACAGTTCGTCAACCAATACCTGTATTTGAAACATGATGATCTTGCTCTAAAACTATTTATATATATTTTTCTAAATGATATGAGTCATAAAACGATTACCACTTACGATTCGTGTGATTAAAACGTCTAACTTTTTCAACAGTTTCTCGAATATGCACATTTTCTGTCGATTTTTTGTGGCATTGATTGTAGCAGCTGTAAATTCATCTATACTGCCTATTAGTTTAATCAAATCGCCGATATCATCTACTTCGTATCGTATTCACCATCAGCACCTTGATTCGATGGTTAAAATATAGGTTCAATGGTATCGTTCTCGGGTGTCATCACGATCTTGTCGAGGAATTTGAGGACCATAAAGAACGGACACATGCACTTCACCATACTTCATAAGTAAATATGTTGTTGTTTGAGAATGTTCATTTTGAAAAGAAAATCGTTCATTAGATGGTCGACCTCTTTGATTCTCTTGTCGTTCTTCTGCTGTAGACTATTTTGATAAATATCTTAGCTCTGTTTCATTGATTTTTTCTTGTAAAACGTATTGATAAAATCGTACAAACATGTGTTATCGAGATTGTCTGAACGATAGTGATAATCAATGCGTGCGCTAACGAGAATATAATTGCTTTTATCTTCTATCGGATGAACGTGAAATTGTTTTTCATCGCTGTTTTCATCGTTAATTGCTTTACTATCAAACACATCCTCATAATCAATTGCACCTATGTGTGAATAAACGTATAAAACGTATTAATTAGATTTATCCTTTGACGTTGATTGAAGATTTTGTTTAGAGCGTATTTCATTCAATTCACTTTATAAAAATTATTCAGTTTGAATAAAAAAAGACCTTGTAATATATGTGTTGTGTAATGGTCGTCCCAATTCATGAGATAAGAAGCAACGTGCACACTAGTTAATTCTTGTTGTGGGCCGAGTGCATTATAACAACGTAAAACGATTTAACGTGATTTTTCAACTACATTTTCTGTGTTCACTTGGCTATTTGAATTTTGTAATAACATAATACTTTTTTGAACCACATAAAATGTATCATGAGATGAGAGACTCATTTTTGTGATACAATCGGTAATATAATAGACTAAAACTTTGGTATCATTTACGGTCCAAATAAAGTTAATATCCATATTGGATAGACAAGCTGAGATAATATATACATTGAAATTATTCATCCATAGATCCGATCGCTTCATCGAAATAACACCAGTTTCTGGATCGATTCGGAGTGGGTAAGCAGGCTAGACGTATTCTCGATTAATTAGATGACACATTCATATCTGAAGATACTAACAAATATTGGATTTTTACAAAATATTATTGTAACGTACTAAGTGTAGATCGACCATGCGTTGGTGTTGAAAAAAGAGGCGATGGATGTATATTCTGTGCACTGTCCAGACAGATAACACCTTCCAAAATATGCGTATCAACGCCGTTTTTACGAAATGTTAACCGGTAGTCTCTGCTTCTATCTCAACCGATCCATCTACAACGCAGCAGCTATCTCTGCATCTAAAGAAACAACAACATCATAAATAAATTCTAGTAAAGGCGGTTCTTCACCATCCAGAATACCATTATCACAAAAGAAAAAGTCCGCATTTAGCGACGTATTCCTCTTATTGTTTTCAATACAAATCATGCTTTTTATGCGCTTGTAGTTTTTAAATCTTATGGAAATGATTTCAAAATTTTCCTACGCATAGTTTTGGTTTTCGACCTATGACTATGAATTGGTTATTGAGAATTTTTTGTAACTCAGGTGATTATAGAAGGATATTTTTTCTTGAAGAAGTGAAATACATTTCTTCTTATTCGCTTTGTTTTCTAATATGAAAGTGCCTATTTTGCTGTGGCTACTAGTTTATCTAACATGCTAATAAGAACAGATACGACAACATAAATGCTCACACCGAAGATAATTTAAAGAAGGGTGTAGACAAGAAAAGCTGTGCAGAAGTTCAAGAATGACAGGAGTTCGCTTTATCATCCTTTGCAATAACGGCTACAGGGATCGAGTATATAGGGAACAGATGTTCTGTGAGATATATTCATTTTTATTTATTTCTCATTCATAGTCTTCATAAAGAAGATAACAACCACTCGTAAACGCTTCTGAACATCTTTCAAATAAATGATATCAATAAATTGATTAATTATTGTAACAAACAAGCGACAATATTTTCGCGTCTACTCTCATTCTAACTATCTCGACAATGCAAAATGAAAATTGTATAATTTACCGATGAATTTAAATTTTCTTTAACACAGAAAGAATATGATATTAAATACACTGATAAGATATTTACTATCTTCATTGTGTTAACTTCTCAATGGCATTTGTTCGAGAGTTAAGTGTTACATTGTTATCAAGATAAACGTCTTTTTCTTTCTTTTTTTTAATCAAAATTGGCCATTCATATGTAGTAGAGTAGATGACAGAAAAAAGAAACTACTAAAATATAAAACAACGTGTTATTTTGATTTCACCACTATAAATAAAATGCTCTTATTTTTCATTGGTCTGTGTGTTTTCGAGTTTACAAATTCTCATTTAAACTTTCCACATACAAAATATCGAAATAGTTTCAATGTTTCACGTTCAAAATCTTCTAGCGACTATTTGACCTTGAGACAGCATACTGAATCATTTTTCAAACCAAGGTTTATAAATCCAAAAGCACAAGGTAAATCTCACTTTGTTCTTAAATTAAGCAGTTATTAGAATATATTTGATATATATATATATAGATTTCTATGTGAATGGATCTACAATTCCTGAAGTTAATTTTGATGTTGGCCCTTCATGGGCAGGTCTCTTACCTATTAGCAATAAGACTAACGAATCACAACAACTTTTTTTCTGGTACTTCCCTTCGCAGTCTACTGAAGGCATAAATGATCTTGTCATTTGGCTGAATGGTGGGCCTGGTTGCTCCAGGTAAATAGTATTTGATTAATGAAACATTTGTTATTTCTTTATTTCACAGTATGGAAGGTTTACTTCAAGAAAATGGACCATTTTTATGGCAATGGGGTACTGCACATCCAGTACGAAATCCATATGCTTGGAATACATTAGCTAATGTTTTGTGGATTGAACAACCTGTCGGTACTGGATTCTCTCAAGGAAATGTTACTATTCATGATGAAGATGAGCTTGCGTAAAAAAATAAGAATAGAAAATTAAATGATTTTATTAAAATCTTATCTATATTTAGGGAGCAACTTTATGGTTTTTTGACTCAATTTTTCGACGTATTTATGGAAATTAAAAATAATTTGGTTTATCTTGCGGGAGAATCCTATGCTGGATATTTTGTGTAAATATTTCTGTCATTTGAAATTGTGTGCATAGTAGAACTCTTATTGTTGAAAAAAGTAATCAATCATGAACGTGGATTGGTGTGGATGAGTATTATTTCTCTACTCTCCTTCATACTTACACTTTCAGGATAAAAAAGCTGCTATTAAAAACTCTTCTATTTTAAACATTAATCACTTGTATTTAATTAATTAATCGTTATAATTCATCTAAATTCGTTTTATTATTTTCTAGTCCATACATTGCCAATTACATCTATAGCTTACCCGAAACAGCGCCATTAAGGCTAAATCTTCAAGGCATATTGATATTTGATCCGCTTATAACAAGTTCTCTTGTGCAACTAGAAATTCCAGCCGTTTCATTCGCTCATATGCATCAGAATATATTCAATTTCAATGCTTCATTTCTCTCGTATCTCGATGGACAAAATAAGAAATGTGGCTATGAGAATTATACTCAAACTTATGCAACATATCCACCACATGGTCCATTGCCAATACCTTCCTCTTCGCACACAAACGAATGTGATATTTGGGCTACTATTTTCGAAGCTGCTTTACGTATTAATCCAGCTTTTAATATTTATCGAATAACGGATACACCTCCCATTCTTTGGGATGTTTTGGGTTTTCCTGGCAGTTTCGGAAACAAACAATCACCTCTTTATTTTGCTCGATCAGATGTACAACAGGCTATTCATGCACCTAAGATCAACTGGACAGAATGTGCACATACTCCTGTCTTTGTTGATGATATTGATCGAAGTCCACCTCCAATAAATTCTGTTCTACCAAATGTCATAGAGAAAAGTCAACGTAGTATCATTGTTAACGGAGAACATGATTTTATAATTATTGCTGAAGGGACACGTATTGCAATTCAAAATATGACTTGGCATGGCATGCAAGGTTTTCAAATGGAACCTAAAACTCGATTTATTGTACCTGAACAAGGAGATTTAGGTTTTTTTCATACAGAAAGAAATTTAACTTACGTAGAATTAGTTCTTTGTGGACATATGGGTCCACAATTCCAGTATGTAACTTTTATTCTATTCTTTACATTTGTAAAATCGAAAATAAATTTATTCAATAGGCCACGTGCAAGTCTACAAATACTTCAATACTTACTTGGTAGAATTCATTCTTGGTAAATGAAACAATAATATTACTTTTCATCGTCATTTCCTTAATTTTGGATTGATACTTTGATTTTTCTTTAAAAAAAAAGCATTTTCATGATAAACATTTCTAGAGAAGATGTCTATGACAATAAGACATTCATATTATACTCACATTTTTATGTGAAACACGATCTGAAAGAGAGTGTTGAAGTGTTTAGATGAGAAACTTTGGCCCATCCCATCCCCCTTCTCCCACAGACGTCATAGACAGCTGAAAACCCCCACCATAAAGCAGGAATCAAAAGTTTAGTGCAGTTTTGATTAGCCAATTTTCTACATCCAAAGTCTTTTCTTAGCGACATCTATATAACTATTTTGATAGCTTTCACAATGTGACATAATATTAACCCTTGGGGACGGACGACGCATATATACGTCGAGGTTGAAATCAATTGATAATTTATTTATGTATATATATTGCTAATGTATTATACTATCATCTGTATTGTGACCTCTTTCACCTTTTTTCTCTTTGTAGTTATATTCATCACTTCTATTTTTTCGTTATGTCTGATATCATGTATCGTCTATTTTTTTAATTTATTTTCACGCACACTGTCTCTTGCATCCACCAGAACGTCTAAAGTGTTGTTTCCTCTCTTAAAAATAACCCCATCCTCAAGGAGTTAGACTACTAGCCGAGGAAGCAAAAAGATAGGGAAAGAAACTTTACAGCTGCTTTATTGATTTTCAAAACGCATTCGATACAATCAAACATTAAAAAAATTTATCTATGAAAAGTCACAGTCAGCTGTTCGAATTGGTAATGATTATGGCGAGTGGCTTGAAACGGGCGTATGAACAAAACAAGGCGACCCTTTGTCACCGTTCCTCTTCATCGTATATCTTGAAAGAGTAATGGATAAGGTAAGGCAGAACACCTGCGGAATTAATGCCAGTGGAATATTTATTCACAACTTAAGGTTCGCAGATGACATTGATCTGATTGATGCAGATCTTAGGTCGCTTCAACGTCAAGTTGAGCTAACAAAAACAGCAGGTGAACAGTCTGGACTAATAGTGAATAGAAATAAAACTAAAACTATGGTATCTGGAGACATGAATATCGAAAATAAGATATAGGTAGCAGGTGGCACCATAGAGAATGTAGAAAAATTCGAATACCTCGGCAGTTAAACCACTTGGGATAATAGCTGCTCAGAGGAAATCAAAAGGCGAATAGGAAAAGCGACAGGTGCACTAGCTGCGTGAAAATGTTTGGAATGGCAAAAAACTGATGATATACAACAAACTAAAAGTCTTTGACATTTGTGTCTTCAGTGTCCTATTATACGCTTCAGAGACGTGACGTTAAAAGAAGCAGACAAGAAAGAATTATTGGTATTCGAAATGAAATGTTACCGACGGATTGTAACAATAAATTGGCAGGATATGATCCGAAACGAAAGTGTACGGAGAAGAATATCAAGAGAGGAGACGATGATCGACACCATCAAAAAGAGGGAGTTGCAGTTGTTTGGCTACATCTGTAGAATGGACGATAGTAGATTGATAAAACATCTACTATGTGGAAAAATCGATGAAAAATCTCGACAGGGGGCGTCCATGCAAACAGTGGTTGGATGACATTACTGAGTGGGGTTAACACAGTGGACAGGAGCTGTTCCATCTTGCGCAAGAGCGAACAGGTAAAGAAAAATCTAATTCCATGAAATATCTGGCCCTAAACCGACGTTAAGCCAAGGAACATGATGATAATCTTCACTAAAACGATATAACATTCGATTATTAACTTCAATGAAGTTTTTGAGTAAATTTTCAGTTGCATTTATTTTTAATGATAATCAAGCTGTAGCAAAATCAAGTTGAACTTTATCAGCACCTGCTTCATATATTAAATCATTTTAAAATTGTTCTCAGGAGTAATTTTTTATTGGTTCTTCATGATAAACAAGTGAAAGAGCAGATGGAGCTATAATTGCTTGTTTTAATGTACGTAATGTATATTTTTGTGCGCACATGAAGTTATTTAGTAACTTTCTAAAACAAAATACTGAATTTTTTGTAAAAAAAACACATGAATTGTTTCTTCGTCTATAAAATTGTTAGATCAATTTCACAATTGGAACACGAAAATATATCTGTGCCCCCACAGTCGAGAGTTTAGTGAGTCGACACGACGAGGGTTACTTGTAAATCATGCATGAGCGTTCAGGACGATTGAGCGTGGGTAGGTGAGGGTGGGGGTATATATGCATAGGTAAAACTAAATCTATTTCTATTCCTAAGGGTGCTAGGAATTGGTCACTTATATTATAAGTCGAATTAGGCAGCTACTCACGCAACCATGGGCAAAAATCCTTTTGGCTTCCTACTAGTTCCATTGAGGTCTACCTATGGTCAAAATATGAGCCGTAGAGCGAGTGGACACTTCGGATACTTCCCTTGTTAGTACTACCGACTGGAACCATTTTGACCATAACAATAATAAACGTAACGATAAAGTTGAAGCTTTTAATGTCACAGAATTTTCATCAGTATTTGACAAGTGAGATTATCTGTGTGAATCGAGTGTAGGGTATGTTTGATCTTTCATTTGAAACTTACAGTTTCAATTAGAAACAGAGGCCTGAGGAACGAAAGATCGGCGATTTTCAGATTGAATGAATGTTTCTTAGATGCATTAGGCGTCCATAAAGAAGCTTAGAAACTGGAAAAGAGGTTTGGTAGTATTAGGGTTAATAAATATATTCTTGGTACTAATTTCTGTAATGTCCAAAAAGAAGTCGAGGCAGCAAAATATTTCCTCGTTTTGCTCTCTGGTCCTTTTTGTCTTGTTAAATTGCGTTCGTTAATGAACATCTTTTATAGAAACCACCCATTTCTCTAATCTTTCTCTTTTCTTCTGTTCATTTCTAGCATGGGTGGAAAGCTATTTTTCTTTCTTTTATTATAGCCGATCAGATCATGACTAGAATCAAACTGCGAAGCGGCCTGAACATATTCCAACATCAAGATTATTTATATCCATTTTTTAAAATTAAAATCACTCAAACTGCTTAAAAGGAAAAATAAAAAGCATAAAACACTCGACATTGTCAATGAAACAACATTTTTCTTAATGTAGAATTCGTCTCATTCGTTGTTTATGTCTTGCTTGCGCTTTGATCTTTGATGGATTAAATGTATTGGATAATTTTGTAAATGCAGCATAAAGAACTAATCCTTGAATAGGCATTAATGCAGTAAAAAGAGCAGTATTCAGAATCGCAATTGGTTCAAGGCAAATAAGTTCCTATTATTTGTTTTTTGAAGAATAAGAAAGTTTTACAGAAGAAACTTACAAAATCTTTTGGATACAAAACAGCAACTGTTGATTCAGTTGTCACACCTGTTGTCGTTGGACCTGTGGTTGTAGGAGCTACAATATGGATGAGTTAATATACATGTATTAATAGTTTATTTTAGATCGTCACCAGCTGTAGTTGGAGGTGCAGTCGTTGACGTTGTTGCTGTAGTAGTCGGAGGTGTTGTAGTTGTGATCACAATGCCCGTAGTTGTTAACTAACTCGAAATGGAGTGAGAAAGATCTGTATCAATGATAGAACTTACAAGAGTATTGATACTTGTCGTTGATGTTGGTTTCGTCGTAACGGTTGCAGTTGTAAATGGCGTTGTAGTCGTTGTCGTTGTTGATGAAAGTGCAGGATTCCAGATATTGAATACCCAAAACGTGGGATCGGTGATTGGTGCCGATTCGGGACCTTGCATTATTCATTAAATTTCATTTCTATCATATCTTACACAATTACTTACCACAAAACTCTGTTCCACTAGCAACACCTAAACGTTAACATTCAAGAGCAAAACATATAAAAACAATCGACTAAATATAATTACCACTATCCATAGTAACATAATAGAAATGTCCAGGTAACCATGGCGCGACAGGAAAACGTATGATAATTGTAAAGCCAGTGTATGTGACTTCAGGTGCCCAACCACAATCATATTGTTGGACGAGTGTACCACCGAGAGTAGAATCCCAAAAGTAAATATTAGTACCATTAAGTGTTGGACGATTGACTGATATAGAAGCTGAAGGAAAAAATTAATTTCAGAGGTATATTTTCATCGAAGGGGAACAAAATCAGTACACGAATGTAAAGCAAACCTTACTTTGAATAGAGAAGGTAGTTTGATTCTGAAAGACAGTACCAATGGGTGAAGCTGAGCCTTGAACCAATTGTGGTCGAATGACTTGAGGTGATTTAAAACCAACCAAAAATGTAATACACCATTGATTTGATTGAAGATTATTATTATCAACAGTTCCAAAACATACAGCTTGTGGGCCGTACTGACTGGAAATGGGTATCCAACTGAGGATAATCTCATATATGTCTACAAACAATATATTCTACAACATGCGTCGATTATATTCTGCATTTACTGACTTGTGCTCGGATTGAGAATACTACTTTTTGACATACCAATAGGTACACTGGAAACAGTGTCAACAATACTCGTTCCAGGACAATAAACTTGTGTAATGACAATTTCTGTCACATTGTCGCCCGGCATTACTCCGATACAAGCTGAAACAACACATGAATAGAAATGATCGCTGATGCAATAAAAGAAATTAAATTTACCTCGATTTGGTCGTTGACCAATGATAGCTGGCGGAGTACCACAACCAGTTGGTGCTGGATAACCATAGAAAAGAAACTGAAGTGGAACAGAACTCATTGGTGTGTTTGCTGATAATGCTGCAGCATTAAAAAAATCTTCAATTTGTAATGCTGCTGCAGCGTAATAATAAGCTGTGGTGAGCGTAAATACAATTGTACAATTTACTCCAATAAGATTAGCACCTGGTATGCCATTGCATACATTTGCGCATTCATCGTATTGGTTGATAGTACTTGTTGCTGAAGTAGACCATCGACATTTTAATAGATCAGTTCCATCAAAATCAGACATTTGAACGACGTGAACCTGTTGAATATTGATTTGTTTATAGATAATGGGAAGACTAACAGCAACAGGACTTGTATTTAAGAAGCCGTCTGGTCTAAGAATGGTACTGACTCGACCAATAACAGACCAGTAACCATTACTACCAACAGCAAGAGCTGCAAACCAATTACCTCCCGTAAAACCAATGCTAAAAGCAACGTTGAGTGGTATTGTATATGTTGCATAATATTCACCGGAAGCGACATCAAGTGGAACACTATAATCAGTACAGTATGCTGATATACTCATGGCTGTATAACCAGGACAACTAGTAGATTCACAATTCAGGGTGCCAGCACCAATCATTGGATTTTGGGCAGAAATTGTAGCAGGAGAACAAACAGGAGGGTATGCACTACGACGCCATGACCAGCGTTCTCTTATAATGACAGGAACAGTCGAGCCTGATGGAGTAGCATTATAAGGTCGTCTAAAGCAGATAAATACAACATAAAATTCAATGATAATTGCCAAAAAATTACGATGTTATTGTTCCACCACGGAAGTGAGAAGCATTGATAATACATCCAAATATAAAGACATAGACAACAAGAGATGTTTTAATCATCATTTTTCTTTCACAGAATGAAATACATTTTGAATAATGGAATGTCTTCTTATAGCATTTGCGTTTCAGGTAAGCATTATCTATGTATGTAAATTGAAAAACAAAATGCTTTTAACGCATTGAAGTGACTGTCACATAAGTAGGGCGTTCGTGTGTATTGTTATTAGACGACGAACTTGAATTAAAAAAAAACATAAGCGAACAGAGCATTGCTTGAGAATTATACAAACACAGACCTGAGAACAATGCATGTCCTTTTATCGTTTGCGACCCCGTGTGAAAATAGCTGTGAAAATCGATTCAATTCTGGTATAGAACTCGTGACAAATAATGGATTAAAACTATTTAGGACAGCTCAAAAGTAGTAGCTAAGGTTCCTTTTTTTTCTTATAAATGCATTTCAAAAATTCTTTTCTTTTCATCAATCGATAGAGCGTCTCTTGCCCAATGATTCTATGTTATTTTACCTATATCTATGTATTTAGGGTATATCAAAAGTAGGGAGAGTTGTCCTGTAATTTGTTACCAAAAGCTTTAAGAAACTTTCTCTCGTATAGCTTGATAGAGAAAAAAATGCTCAATTTTCCTATGCTATTTGATCTACTTCAACTAAGATTATAAAAACAAAATTCCCTTAAAATCTGTTTTTTTCACATCTCTACCGGTTAGTGTGAAAATCATCTCAATAATGGCGAACGAGTTTTTTCTGAATAACTTTTGATGGAAACAAGGTAGAGAATTGTGGTTTCCATCATTGAAAAGAGCGGACGAAACTGCATCGAACCGCACATTGTAGAATTTTCAGACATGATTCTTACACTGTTTTCAATTGATGTTTGTAGAAACAAATCTATTTCGTAAGATGTTTACTATGAAATTTCAATAATCATGTACACGTTCAAATCGCCAATCGGCACACTACAAATAGTGCAAAGCGAAGAGGAAAAATACGCATTCTAGTCACGCATCAACTATGCTTTGCTACCAATTTTCGTGAGAAATGTTCATTTTTGTACATTTCCATTTTTTCAACAGATAAAAATTGAATATGAATAATTCAACATCAATACTAGAAAATCTTATAATGTATGATTAGGTGCATTTTCATCTCTGGTTTCTAATGATGGAAACCACAGTGTTGTGTCGTGTTTCTTTCGAAAGCTATTGGAAGAATACTCGTCAGGATGTTCGCAACCGTTAGAAATGCAGAAAAAAACAGATTTTATGGGGATTTTGTTTTTATAATCTTAGTTGAAGTAGATCAAATAGCATAGGAAAATTGAGCATTTTTTTCTCTATCAGGCTATAAGAGAGAAAGTTTCTTAAAGCTTTTGGTAAAAAATTACAGGACAACTCTCCCTATTTTTGGTATACCCTAAATATATTACACAGGATGAACAAGACTCCATGGTGCCTATTCTACGTTGGAAAGAATTACAGTTGATAANTGTTACATCTTCCCAGAGATCGATACTATTCTGACTACGCCTACGTTTCTTTCGCTTTGCGTAAATGTTTGTTTGATCGACAATTAGATTAAAAATTTCTTTGGTAAAAAAATTCTTGAACACGAGAAATGGCGTTACATCGGTGCAAGAAATTTTCGTAAAACCACTATCAACATCAATCATAGAATTTTCTATTATGGAATCAACGTCCATTTCATTATCAGTCGAATATTCACTTGATATTTGAAGCTCATCCAGATCGTCGATTAAATCATCATAGTCGAAATCAAAATCACTTTCATCACTGACTTCGTTAGAAGATGAATTATCTGAGTTATCATCCGATTCATCTTTTTCGAAAGGTTCCATTGTGAATTTTCAATTCTAAATACAATTGATAAATGAAATACAGGGATAAGTTAATTTCCTTTCAAAACACAGCTGTATATATACATATATAAAGTGGTAGATACCGAGAATCTTCTCGAATCTTCTTATAAAATAACATATTAGAGGGAGAAAAAAATCGTGACGTCATGGTACAGTCACAGAACGAAAAGCGAATGCCTTCGAAGAATGTATACTTCATCAAGAGAAGAGGCGATAAGCATAACATAAGCACCTCGTGACCTTTAAGTATAGAAAAATTCAATATTTCTATATAAATGAAACATTTTCCTAATTGAATAAATAGGTGGTACAACCCTTGTACCACGGTCCTGAAAGGGTTAGTGGGCAATCCCATACCTTCAAGTTCTCCTTCACTCTTAATCCGATACAATAGTTGTTTTCTGATGGATAGCATTTCTATCGTGAATGTTTATAACCATCTTCATGAAAATACTTCGTGGTTTAATACTAAGCCAAGTGACAAACGAATTGACAATATTATTAAACGCATGCGTGAATCAATGCTAAATTCTCTCAATGAGCTGTATTATGCTACGCACACACACGGTTTTCTAGTGCGTCAATAGTGAACTGGATACTTTTAGCATTAGTCTCTGGTGTTGTGACATATTATATCTATCAACACAAGCGGAAAACCATTCTAGGGAGTATCTAATTATTCGACTCTNGGTTGGTGATGATAAACTTTCTCTTACAGCATTTATTGATATCAATTGGTTGTAAATATACGACAATGATGATAGTTCACTGACATCGTAATCTGATGTATTAGGATCGAATTAATGTTCGTTTGTTTTTGATAACAGAACAAGAAATATAAAAGATGAGAATAAAAGAGGGAGAAATGTTTAGTTTTATTGAATTCCTGTCGAGATTTAAACGCGAATGAAAAAACTATGATACATATCCTCGGAAATCATTGTTAGAAGGCTTCTTCTGACTATGGCGCGGGAGTGCGGTATAGCCATCTAATACCGCATACCGTACCGTACCGTGGCTTATCCATACCGTACCGTACCGTACCGCCTTACTTCTTTTTTTTCCTATACCGTACCGTACCGGGACGAGACGGTACGGTACGGTACGGTGTTGATACCGCATACCGTCGGTCTCTGGTATATGATGACAATATAGAGAAAAGAAAGAAAAAACAGTGTATGTTTGCGATAATTCTCTCGATCATCTTGTTCCTCAAGCATTATTTCCTGAAAAAGAGTAAGAGATTTTTTTCTATGAATAGTGTGAAAGCTAACTCTTCTGGTTTCAGTGCATTCTGGTCGTCCGATTATTGTTCTATCAGAGCAAGGAAAATACTTAATTTGACTTGAATTGCATAAGCTTGTTCAAGAAAAAGTGTATCCAACTTCGGAAAAACTTCTGAAAAGGTTTACAGATCAATATGAAGATTTTCCGATTCATTCAACAAATACGTCATGTAAAAAAATGAAAACCATAAGTGAAATGTTATACTCATGTAGATGAGAAAGGAAAGAAAAAAAAATATTACATCGCTTTTTACTATTTTTAACTTGGCATCGTATATCAACGACATCAAGGATAAGAGTTACACTGGATTCACAAGCTATTATTGCGGCAAGGATGAAATACTTTCAGATGCTTGAACAGTTTAGACAAGATAACGATCACTTATACTATTGTGATGAAACTTCGATAGATCTTCCAGAAGTCAAACGATCTATTTGGACATTAAATATCGAAGGGGAGGGGGAGGTAAACCATCACGTCACTCGTAAATAATTCTTCAATATGTCATTTTTGGTCTTGTTTACAAGATCTCGTCTGGCAGCAGCAGCACTTATAGTCGTCAATGGTTATCATATTCCATCAGTTGATATTTAAACATGTACCGAGAATCACTATATGTATTCAACTTGCGTAACGTTAAGAGAAGAAATTGGTGAGTTCATGCATTTTGAGTCATGTTTTTCATTAACGACTTTTAACACTTTCTTCTTAGGAGAAAAAAAAGAATTGCTATTTGTCTAGGCAATGCGATTCGGCGCAAGAAACTCACAGAAGAATCAGTGATTCCGAACCGTGCTTCAACAAAGGCAGGGATTGAAAGATAGAAAAATTCATTAAAATTCAATTGTTAGAACTAGTGGGTCATGATGAGGCAAAACAGATGATCGAGCAGTTTGTGGTGGCGATGAACGATAAACGTGTAACTTCGTATCTTCCTCATTTTCGTGGAATAGAAAAAAATGTACAAAACCGCGGATGCAATTATGGAGGAAGATATCAAATCACATTTACGATTCGATAGTGATGAAGCAGAGTCAGAAGGCGAATAATAAAACACAGAATAAAAGATTTTTTTCTATTTATAATTATTTTAGTTCAATACGCTTTTGTTTACGGATACGAGAATATTAATTGCTGTAAAAGATTTTTAAAAATTCTAAAGATTATAAGATTAAGTAAATAAAAAAAACATTTTCTTGAAAATGATCTTCAAGATCAGCATCTTTGCAGCTCTGTACTCATGACCTGAATGTAAAAATGCGGCACAAAGCATAAAATGAACACTTTCGTATTGCTTAGTATAGTAAGAAACTCGTATTTTTATTTTTTAGCGGGAAATATCTTACGCGTAGTCCCACATTTGAAATATCTCTGGTATTTTCAGTAGGGGTGTACCGCTCACGCTCATAGGCGCTCATATGAGCGTGAGCGCAGCGCTCACGCTCACGCTCACCATGAGCGTATCATCGCTCACGCTCACGCTCACAGTGAGCGTGAGCGGTATTGGCTCACGCTCATGAGCGCTCGTATGAGCGTGAGCGTTTTCTTTTTAAAACGCCGATAATCAAAATAAGATCATTCACATTAATGTTCTAAATATAACTACACTATAGAAATAAATACAATCAAAAAAATACAATAGCATTGACTAAAAACACCAGTTAGCCCATTCCCAAAGATTTTTGCCAATTTTTTATATTAAATAGTAAAATAAATCTTCTAAAATGCATAAAATCTTTCAAAATACTGACCGACTGCATTTTGTCGTTCTTTCACTATGACATATAAAATGCCAAGCTATTACTGTTCAGATCATGTGTAAGAATGCTAATCGACATTTTTCTGAAGAACTACTATCAGGCATGTACTAACTCCGATTCCAGAGAATTCGATTCCGGCCCTAGAGTTGGGATTGATCAGAATTTATCGGAATCGACATCGAATGGAATGGGTATTGATCGGAGTTGATTGGACATAGTCTGAAGTAGACTCAAAGCATTACCATCTGTAATTCAATCAACACCAGTTTCGAACCACCATGACTAATAACATAAGAATCGCTTTTAACAAAAAGCATGTTGAATCAGTCCTCTATTAGATTTTGCCGGTTCGACGAGAATTATTCTTTAGCGTACGACAGATTCAGATTAATTCCGGTCCATCTCAGTCAGTTTCAACTGATTTGTATTGTGAGTTAATCCCAATTCCGATTCTAGTCGATCTCCATCCCGATTGTAATCACTTACGAAGTGTTCTAAAATTGGACTTGGAATTTATTCGACGCAGAATTCTTGCATCCCTAACCATTGTGTTGTGCCTGGATAAAATGAAGTCATGTAGAGTATATTATATGTTTCGTATCGAAAAATTCGTGTTGGTAGAAATCTGTTAATACTAGCATGTTATTATGTAACCAACGGGAATCGATATACTCTGATATGTATGCATGAACTGAGAGCAAATAATTGCCTACCACAAAGAAAAACAAGTTATAAACTCTGTTCGAAAGTTTTGACTTTGACTTGAGATTGTCACTACTTATTTGAAAAATGTGTCGTTTTTCAACGACCTCTATTGACGATATATATCAGTTCTCTCATATGATTGGATACTTTGAACCAAACTGACTTGTCAAAATTGTCAAAGCGGCGGTTGACGAATTTTCTATTGAATTTTAACTAGTTATTTACCTTTGATACTATCAAAACATGGCTTCGTCAGCTGCATCACGATCTAAGGATCCTGAAACAAGTGCATCTCAGAATCAATCTGGTTCTTTATTATTGTCACGCTCTTCTCGTGCTTCTCAATCTTCTGTACGTGAGTCTTCTACAAAACGGTCTCAAATACCAAAGTCAAAACGAAAAAATTCGTCAGGTCGATTGGTACCATATACTTCACCGAAACTTTCGCGTGCTAATCAATCAAATGACACAACAGCTAGTGTTACTACTAACGATTTTGTCCAAGACGCTGGTTTTGATCTTACTAACATCGACATGAATATTGATTATACCTTATTTCAAGGCAACAATGTATCACAAGGACAAGATCCATTTGAAAAATCGTCAGACGACGAAAAAGAGGTAATTTGGTTTCATAATTACTTTTACTCTGAAAATTCGCAGTACCTGTTGATCATCCTTGCTTTCATCGAAAATTCACTTGTTATTAATATGAATAACATAAACGAAATCTCGATAATTATTAGAGTAGTCGGTATTCAAATATATGTATGACTTTTGTTATTACACCTGTACTATCGTCCTCATTTCTACTAACACTGGCTTTGCTTTCGATCAAAACTGAAGTTATCAAACGATACCTCCATAGAATGCGTAGATCTGTAGTACCTAATCTCATGTATCTTTGGCTTTTCTAGAATGATGCAAAGAAAAACGATCATCCTCACTCAACATCCTCGTTTGTGGTTACGGATTATTTTGCAATGGGAAGCAAAGATAACACATACGTATGCAACACGTGTCAACAAGTAAGTTTTCTGTGATACCTAATATTCCATTGCGCGAATTACAACTTAAACAAAAAACGCCTTCTCATAGAACTCAAATAGATAAATGACAAATTCGATGCGAATGTTTAGTGTTGTGATTATTCTGCTTGCTTATTTTATCACATTTGCTTAGTTCAGAATAACCAAAGATGTTAGCAGATAGATCAATAACGTTAGGTTAAAAGTTAAATTAACGAATCGTTCACAAGAAATAATATGCATTCAACTTTCTGCACGAATTCGACGTAGACTGCGGAAGTATTGGTAGTTATTTCTTCTTCGCAGTCTGATAATCAGTTATGTGAACAAAACAGATAGGAAAAACGTACAACTCAACTGTGTATAGGTGGGTGAGTGAAAAAGGATTAGCATATGTTTCGAGTTAAATAGAAATACAAGATTTTTTGTCAAGAAGTCCTTGGCAAATGGTCTCTGAATTCTCGCATTTTACCACTAACACGCCGTTTTTACCCCTTTAGGAATCATGACTTTTAAAACTGGATCAATCTAGGTAAAATTGTCATAGGGCAGTCATCTAATATTTTATCAAATGGAGCAAAGTCCTAGCATAAGTTTTAATACTTTAGGAAAAAATAACAAATGGAAGCTCAACCTTTAATCTTCGTCGACATCTAGCGCTTCGGCACAATATTGAAACCGGTATCAACGTTTCTTCATATCGGAAGAAGAGAGAACAATGCGAACAAACAACTACCATTAATAAAAAACGTCGGGCCGAAGTAGATGACTTACTGATGAAATGTATAATTCATGGTGGTCTACCATACAACCACTTTGGTCATCCGTGGTTTCACACCTTGTTTGATAATCTTCTACCAGGTTATACTCCTCCAGATCGGCGAACATTTCGAAAGCGAATTAAACTCGAATATGATGCATACATTAGTGAAGTCAAGCAATTAATTCCAAAAGATAAACCAATTGCTTTTACCACAGACATCTGGAAGAGTTCAACCAGACATCATTACATATGTCTTACTATTCACTTATTTGACCATGAATTAAAACCATTTTCATTACTCTTATCTTTTCGTCGTCTAACTGGTCGAAAGATCAGCAAGAATCTACACGATTATCTGCAATATGAATTAAAACGATTTGATCTTCAAACCGCATCTTATGCGGGTATTACAACGGACAATGGAAGTGACATAAAAGCTGCCACAAAAACAGGAATATGTGGCCCTCGTTTTCCATGCATTGCACATACCTTAAATCTGATCGTTAACCACGGCATTTGTATTTGGGACAAGCCAAGCGAAAAACGGTTAGTAGTTTTAGATTTTTTGGAAAGTCCAGAAAGAAGAGTGATCAAGAGTTGTTCTTCTCATAAACTAAAAGAGATCGGATATCAGATTTGTGAAATCTAATATATCTTTAACATCGTGTATTACTAATTTTTGCAACCAATAGACACTATCTATAAAGATTTCGTATCAAAATTTTACCGTTTACATATGTCAATTAATAAGCTGTGGTTTATCTGTAGATACCCTTTCAAATCATACAGCAAGAATGCCGTAACCGACGATGATGATGATGATGATGAATATATTGACATTGATGACGATGTCGAAGAAGAGGCTGTTGATGCTGAAGAAGCTTACAAACAGGAGCAGTGCAAGAATAACAATAACAGCAGCAGTAGTAGTGACGTCAGTAGCAGCAGCGCCAACGCAGAAACAAATGAAATTGCTGACCTGGCCGTGCCGTTCGACGATGCCACCGTTTCTTCTGTCGCATCAATCAATGTTCCAGTAGACGACGAATACATCAGCGGTGATGAAGATGATACAATCGGTTCTTCTATTGAATTTCATACGTTAAACAACAGTGAACTAGAAACCCTTTTCAGTTTTCTTTGTAAAACGCGTACATTAATTGCTCGAGTACGAAAATTAGCACAAACTATGAAGAATGTCACTGCAATTGATCAGTTCATTCGTAATAATCCAAATGGACCAATAAGTGGTTTTGTGACCGATATGCGAGTAAGTTGTGATTCTTTTATACTTCAGCCTAAGATAATACTGCTTTGGCAGTTTATGAATATCTACGAAAGCGTAGCGCATATGGGTCTTATTTTATATTTATACCATTCTGGATGTTTATTCCAACATAATTACTAGTCACATTTCTTATAGGCTTATCTTATATTTTCTTCCCTGTCTATTGAGTACTGTTATTCATTTTCGACATACCATTCCTTTATGGTGAATGCACTTTATCAAGAAAAAGAAGGGATATATACGTAGAGGAAGACTATCGCTGGAATAAATCTTTCTCAGCAAACACCGGCATACTTTAGAGCTTCTTAAGCCAGTGTCTCCATGAGGCTTTACCAGATGCACGCATTTTGCGGAAACGAGGTTCCACATGGGATCGATGTTTTTCCAACAGCATTAATCCTTTATTAATGTTAAGGAAAATATGTTTACTATTTAGACCAGGTGGTCCAGCTGTTTCTACATGCTGAAACGACTTATTGATTATCAATTGATTGTTCAAACAGTTCTTATTTCTAAGTTTCCGACAATTTCAAGTGATCAACAAGCTACTTTAGCGAAATGTTTTTTGGATCCAGAAAGTTGGGAAATTATACGAGCTGTTCATGATATTTTGCAACCACTCGAACTTGCAACATCGGCTTTATCTGGAAAACATTATCCTACTTTATCATTAGCTTACACAACTATCAGCATTCTTCGACTTGGTTTAAAACCAAGCCGAGACGATTCGAAATGTTTGATTCTGCTCAAGAAAAGCATTCAGGCTCAATTTGAATACTATTTCGACTATCAATTGTCTAAACAACAAAAGGAATTAATGTTGGTGTGTAAAGTTTTATTACACTATTCTCTTAGTAGTTTTTCTCATTTTCTAACTTACGTATTTCATAGAAAGTAATACTATTGACTAGTTCAGTGTTTTCTACTCGTGGCTTTTAATTGTACACAGATCCAATAGTTGAAACGTATTCATATAACTAAACGACTACGTTGTTTAATGTAAAGATAGATTAAAAAGCTTCCTTTCATGAAACATCTTCTTAGATTGCTAGACAAATGCTTATCTTCAATATTTACTAAAAACAGTGTTTGCCACAACTTGTTTGAGTGCACAAATAATAAACCTTTAAGCACGACCTTTCATACATATGTTGCTTGCTGCGACTGTCATTTACATTTTCTCGAAGAGAGAAGTTTTTTTGATAACTATTGCGTGTTGCACCTTTATTCTCCATTATATTTCGTTATTGCTATTTAGATTGCAAGTTTTCTGGATCCTGAGACTTTTGTTGATATTTCACCTGAAGATAAACAGAAAGTTAAAGCTATTCTCCCAGCTTATATGCGAAAGGAAGCACAGTATACTATTCAATCAACGACTTCAACGCCTGTGGTTATCCATAAACCAGCTCAATCTTTAACTGAAAAATTGAAGATGATGGTCGGTATATCAACAACTGTGCGAGCAACTCGACCACCTTCGGTAGAAGATGAAATCATCTTATTTAACCAAGCAATTCAATCATACAACGGTTCTTTTTCAGCATTTTGGTTACAATTCAGAGATCAATTTCCTCGTCTATATCGTGTGGCATTACGAGTGAATATTATACCAGCTACATCGGTACCAAGTGAAACTATCTTCTCTATTGCTGGCTTTATCTCAAGAAAACAACGAAGTTCTTTGTCATCAACATCATTGCGACACCTAATGGTCTTGAAAGAAAGTCATAAATTAGAGAAATTACGTAATATTTCTCGTAACTGAATACACTGATGATCATTTTATTTTCTTCTAAAACCTTCATTGTTTTTGTTCATCAAAGAAAAATAAAATAAACGAACATCTTATATTTCTCTATTACTTTTCAGCTCTTTTGAATATGGAAACTGCAGTGAAATCAAATGAAAGAACACATAAAACTAATAAGAGATTTTGATGCATAGTTGTAAAGTTAACTCACCTAACACTCTTAATCTTACGACAATATTGTTCAGAAATTGTGCACTAAACACAAGGTCAAAGAGTAAGGGAGTAATTTAACTTTAATTTTCAAAACAAAGTTTCAAACTAATGGTTCTTAA